AAATAAATATAAATTAATTTTATTTTAAATTTAATTTATTTTTCAAACACAAACCCAAACTCAAGTTCAAACTCAATTCAATCAAAATTAAACTTAACCCAATTTTACCTAACCCAACCCAATCTATAAAAATTAACCCAATTCATTCCCCTACTTACATTTAACCTTAACCCTAATTTATTTCTCAATTTTCATTTTCACCTTCCCCTCCATTGTTGGTTTAATTTTTGTTTATGTTTTAGTTTAGCTTGGATTAATCTTTGTTTATGTTTGAAACAAATTTGTTAATTGTTGGTTTAGTTATTTATGTTAATTGATTTTTATTTATATTTGAACAATTTATATTTAAAAATTTTAGTTAATTGTATTTGAATTTTTAAAATTTTATTCATTGTAATTGAATATTAATTAATTATATGTAAAAGACAAAAAAATTTATAATTTAATATTAATTGATGGGGAATGGGGATCCCTGCGGGGAACGGGGACGGGGGGCAAAATTTGCCCCCTGTTAAAAATCCCCGCGGGGATCCCATCCCCGCCATTCGCAGGGATGGGGACGGGGAGGGACTCCCTGGCCCCACGGGGCCCCATTGACATCCCTAAACCCAAAAAAATTTATAATTTAATATTAATTGATGGGGAATGGGGATCCCCGCGGGGAACGGGGACGGGGGGCAAAATTTGCCCCCTGTTAAAAATCCCCGCGGGGATCCCATCCCCGCCATTCGCAGGGATGGGGATGGGGAGGGACTCCCCGAGCCTGCGGGGCCCCGTTGACATCCCTAAACCTGTGTCTCAAGTAGTGGCAGAGTTGAATTTTAGAAGAGATCGGCTTTTCAAGTCTCAAAATAATGCATTATAATTTTAAAAACTTATTTTTATCTCATAAATTAAAATAATACTCGACAAATTTTCATATCATAAAATCTATTTATAATAGAGTTTATATTAAATGATCAAACTATTTCCTTTTTAATATAAATAAAAAAAGAGTTTGAAAGAAATTCATCATCCATTTTGCTGTGAAGTCTCGTTTTCACAATTTTTGTGGCTGAAAATGCTTTTTCTATTGTTGCTGTAAAAATTGAAAGAGTAAGCACTAAAGTAATTAATTTGTAAATGAGACTATAGACTTTTGATTTTTTGATCTCCATAAGCCATTGACATAGCTCAGAAATATTTGAAAAATTTTGAAAACTCTGATCACAACTCGTTTCAATCTTATAATATCGAAGCTTTAATCTCAAATGAAGTTTTTCCATCTCTGAAAAATCTCGAGGTAGCAATTGACAACATAAAACCTTTAAATATTTAATTGGTTATCAAGATCCCTAAAATAGTATATCAGTATGTAATGGTAGAGCACTTAATTATCTAAGTTATCAGTTATTTCTAGTAGAAGAGATTCTCCACTTCCACGAGTGAGGTTGGCAAATATGAAACACGATAACATCTTATCTCTTCACCCTACCACTTTTTACAATCAAATAATTTTTTTCCCTTTTATAAGCTAATTACACTTTATACTAGTTTATCTTCCTTTTATACTAGTTTATGTTCCTATTGCTCTTTCTCTATTGTTGACAACCACTTAAGATTTCAAAATAATGAAAAATCATTATTAACAAGTGTAAAATATAAAAAGAAAAGGGGAGCCGCCACTCATCCAAATTATAAGGTGGGACAAGTCACCTAAAACGAGTCTGCGCAGAGATCGGAGTTCGGGGGTTCGATTAGGAGTGAGGAAGGGCATACTCACACCTCACAATCCTCCGTTTAAACACGGTTGCATACTTTAACATTGGGGTTTTGATTCAACTTATTTATTACATTTATATTTGAGTCTTAATAAGCAAACTTGCAAAAAGAGATAAACCAAATCAAAACATTTTTTTATTTTTGGACTGAAATAGACAAAAATAAAGAACATGCATGCACAATAAACACAAATAAAAATTAAATGGGCTGATTTGATTAAAATAAAAATAAAGGACTGATTTGAAAAGGTTTAAAACTTTTGGACTAAAGTGCTTGAACATGAAAGGATTGTGCGAAATTGAAATAAAAGAGATAACTTCTGATTTTTTTTTTACTTTTTAACCTTTTTAGTTTTTTTTTTTATTGGATTAAATCGAACTGACCCGACCCAAAAACACCATTCAAGCATAAAAATAGACAAAAAGAAGATCAAACATGCAACCAAGTGAGAAAACTAGGATTCATGTAATTTCCAGTAACAGCAACACATTCATCAGAAAATAAACTGTAAGGACAGGTCCGAGGTGCCAAGCCTCGAACTGCTACAGTAATTCCTTGATGACCGAAGTGAGAAATGAATCCAAAGCTTCCTGCTCAAATAGCTGCATGACAATGACAATAAGCATGCCCGCACCTGATTCCTTATGACGAGTGGCACAACAAGTATGGTGGATATCCGTGCATCTGAATACCTCTCAAATTCCCGGTCCCAAAATAATCGTCTGGATAGACACGTCAGGCTCCGATTATCCTGCTAAGCAAGCCACGTGGATACCTCACAAAGGCCTATAAATACCCCCAGGGGCCACCTCAGAAAGGTAATTGAAACCAACCCTAAGCTCTTTTTATCTCCGCTCTAAAGGTAGCTCCAATTATTGCTGACTTAAGCATCGGAGTGTCTACCCCGAGTTCCACCTCGGGGCTTTGCAGGTCTTCCCGGAGTGCAAGTGCAGACTAAAGAAGGACTTCTGGTTTGGTGCAATTACATTGGCGCCGTCTGTGGGAATTGAACTGAAAGCTTGTTAGTTGCTCTTTCATCATGGTTCACACTCAATCAGTCAGAGCTGGTAATTCATCTCTGCCACATGGGCAAGGTCAACCCTCCACCAACCTTCCACCTCTGATCCCACCTCAAATCCCAACCCCACTTCCACCTCAGCTCCTACCTCAGGTCCCCACTATGTTCCCTCCTATTGATCATGCAGAAGGAGGAGATGAAAACCAACCCCATACCTCAGCCCACAATTCAACTTCCACTGCCAATCAAGACGTAGTGACAGCTCAGCTTGCTGTCATGCAGCAACAGTTCGGTGTTTTTCAGTTGGTACTGGCTCAGCTTTTAGCCAGAAACAATCCTGGTGACCCCCTCATTAATTTACTAAACCCTACTCAACAACCCCCAGCTCCACAACAGAATCCTCAACCTGTTCAGCATGCTCCCGCTATTAGTGAATCTTAGGGTCAATCCCACATCACACCCGCTCAACAACCTATCCCTGATGATGTCACTCGACGCCCCGATAGCTTGGAAAAGCTAGTAGCTGAACACCGAGGTGCTCTACCCCCACACCACGCTACGGACTCCATACCTCACCCTCTAAATACCAATATTACCCTGGAACCCTATCCTGATGGTTTCAAAATACCACAATTGGAGACTTATGACGGGACGAAGGATCTTGATGATCATTTGCATGCCTTCTACTCTTGCATGCAAGCTCAGAACGCCTCTGACGCGTTAATGTGCAAAATCTTCCCTTCTACTCTCCGAGGTAATGCCCGAACTTGGTATTACAGTTTACCTCCGAGGTCAATTAGCTCTTATACAGAAATGGCATCTGCCTTTGCCACTAAGTTTTCCAGTAGAAGGTTGACTAGGAAAACTACTTCTGAGCTGATGCGAGTTAAACAGAAGGATGGAGAATCTCTGAAGAACTATATGAGCAGGTTCAATGATGCAGTTTTAGAGGTTAGTTCCTTTGATCAAGCTATGGGAATTGCAGCTGTAATCTCCGGTCTCAAGCATGACAGGTTCAGAGACAGTTTGATCAAACATGATGCCACCACCTTTAGCGAGGTGAATGATAGGTCTCTCAAATTTATAACTGCTGAGGAATACGCCCTGGCACAAAACCCACCTTCCTCTAAGAACCAAAACCCAGATTGGAGAGATGACAACCCAAGCAGGAAAAGGATGAGGATGGCGCAGAACCGAGGTCCGATGTTGACCTCCCCAACGAGAGTCGGAAGGCCGAACTCAACGCCCCTGCAGCAATCTACAGGTAAACCTCCAGTTAATTAGACTCCCTTTAATCTGTCGAGGTCATAGATTTTTATGCAGATTAAGAACAAAATGGACTTGAGACGTCCTGGCCCAATGCGAACTGCTGCTGCTAGTCGAGACCATACCAGATATTGTGATTTTCACCAAGATCACGGCCATACTACAGAGCAGTGTAACAGTTTAAGGTCCGAACTGGAAAGTTTAGCTCAGAAAGGAATGCTGAATGAGTATATTCAGAGAGCTGAACAACCGAGGTTTGTCAGAGAGCAGAGGCCGCAGCCTCAAGGAGTCCGCAATCCCCCAAGGTGTGGGATATCAGCAAGCCCCACCTCCGCTCCCACCACCAGCTAGAATCATACACATGATCACGGGAGGCCTTGAAGCAGGTGGGCTAAGCTCTAAACAGCGAAAGCTGTATGTCAGAGAGGTTAAGCATCAGAACCAAGCTCAGAAGCGGAAGATTGACGATGCTGAGTGGAAAACTCAACCCATTACTTTCACATATGCTGATCTTGATACAGTTGTTACACCCCACAATGATCCCTTAGTCACTTCTGTCATAATTAACAACTGTGAAGTACAGCGTGTCCTTGTTGATACCGAAAGTGCACCAGATATCATGTACTTTCATTGTTTCGAGAGTCTTGGGCTGGATCCAACGTTGTTGCAGAAATATGATGGTCCTATTTATGGCTTCAACAACCAACCTGTTCCGGTGGAAGGAGTTCTTACCCTCCATGTGGCTTTTGGGAGTGGCCGAACCTATGTAACCCCTTCAGTCCGGTTCCTCGTAGTCAAAATGGCATCCTCTTTCAACATTGTTATTGGCCGACCCACACTGACTGAAATCCGAGCTATAGTTTCCCAATCTCACCTCTGTATGAAGTTCCCAACCCCTATGGGAATAGCAACACTGCGAGGAAACCAGGAGATGGCCAGACATTGTTATATCACCTCGGTAACACAACCTACGAAGGGCAAAGATCAGACACCCGAGGCCATTTCCCAGCAAATTCCTAATACTCAGCAAGTTATGGGTGTAGAGATTGTCGATAATCGACCGGAAGATGAAACCAGGGCTGCTCCAGTCGAAGATGTTGAGGAAGTGCTCATTAATGACAGAGATCCGAGCCGAAAGACGCAAATCGAAACTAGATTGAACCCGAAAGAGAGAGCAGAGCTTATAGCTTTTCTCCGAGCTAACAATGATGTAGTCGCATGGACTTCGGCAGATATGCCAGGAATTCCAAAATCAGTGTCTCAACATAAGCTCAACACCAATCCATTGAAGAAACCAGTGGCCCAGAAGCGGCGTCTCTTCAAGGGGGAGAGGCTTCAGGCTATTAAAGAAGAGGTAGAGAAACTTCTACAAGCTGGTTTCGTCAGGAAAGTTGATTACTACGAATGGGTGGCTAACCCAGTCCTGGTGAAGAAGGCAAACGGTAAATGGCGAATGTGTATCGATTACACAAATCTTAACCACGCCTACCCTAAGGATTGCTATCCAATGCCGAGCATTGACAGATTAATTGAAGCGACTTCAGGCAATGAGAGGTTAAGCCTCTTGGATGCATATTCTTGGTATCACCAGGTGCCGATGGCTCCTGAAGATGAAGAGAAAACCTCGTTCTATGCTGGCGATGAAATTTATTTCTATGTCATGATGCCGTTTGGCTTAAAGAACGCTGGTGCTACTTATCAGAAAATGGTGACCATCGTCTTTCGAGCTCAGATCGGCAAGAATCTGGAGGTGTATGTCGATGACATCGTAGTAAAGAGCCAGAAAGCAGAAGACCATCTAGCCGATCTCGATGAAACCTTCAACAACCTCAGAAAGAACAAGATGCGATTGAACCCAGCCAAATGCATCTTCGGAGTGGAGTCAGGAAAGTTTCTAGGTTTCATGGTGTCCTGAAGAGGGATTGAGGTTAATCCAGAGAAAATCAAAGCAATTGCCGAGATGGAACCACCAAAATCAGTAAAAGATATACAGAGGTTGACTGGAAGAGTGGCAGCCCTTCATCGATTCATATCGAAGTCAGCAAATAAGTGCCTGCCATTCTTCAAGATCATGAGGTCGGCCACCCAGAAGGATGAATCAGGAAAACAGAAGAAATTTGAATAGAGTCAAGAGTGCCAGACTGCATTCGACGAGCTGAAGTCTTATCTTAGCTCGCCACCTCTACTGACTATGGCCATCGATGGGGAAATTCTTTATTTGTATCTGGGGATTTCAGATGAAGCGATTAGTTCAGTTCTGGTGAGAGAAGAAGCCAAGCAGCAGAAACCAATCTATTACATCAGCAGCGTGTTGCACAGAGCAAAGCTAAGGTACCCTATAGTTGAAAAAGCAGCATTAGCAGTTGTCACTTCGGCCAGGAAGTTGAGGCCATATTTCCAGTCACACCTAATTATTGTTCTCACAGATCAACCTCTCATGTAGATTTTGCAGAAACCAGAGTGCTCCGGAAGATTAATTAAGTGGGCAGTGGAACTGGGAGAGTTTGAGATAACGTTTCAGCAGAGATCGGTCATCCGAGCCCAAGCATTAGCAGATTTTATTGTCGAATGTACTCCATGTCCTTCAACCTCTAATCTAGAGCCCAACGATTGGACCTTATATGTTGATGGAGCATCTAGTAGCAAGGGTTCAGGGGCTGGCGCCCTCTTGATTGGTCCAGAGGGATACCGAAGTGAACATGCCTTGAAGTTCAACTTTGATGCGACAAATAACATGGCTGAGTATGAAGCTCTACTACTTGGTTTACAACTAGCATTGGAGTTGAAAATCAGTGCAATTCAAGTGTACAGTGATTCCCAGCTGGTGGTAAACCAAATCAACTCTATCTGTGAAGTTGTTGATCCTGTGATGGTGAAGTATGTAGCCTTGGTGGCCGAGCTGAAGTGCAAATTCCAGAAATTCTATCTGAGTAAAATCCCCCGAGCTGAGAATGAACAGGCAGATTCACTCTCCAAGTTTGCCTCTGATAGCTCTTTAAGTTCCAAATCCGTTTTTGTAGAGATCTTAGATGAACCAAGCTTCATGAAGCCTCGGGTGATGGAGATTAGCACAAACCCAAACACGCCGAGCTAGACTGATTTAATCGTCTCCTTTTTGCGAGATGGGATAGTACCTGAAGACAGGCAGGAGGCAATGAAGTTGAGAAAGAAAGCATCTCGGTATACCTTCGTTGATGGGGTCCTATATAAGAGATCTTTCTCACTTCCTCTTCTACGGTGTTTAAACCCCTATGAAGCTGAATATGCACTTCGAGAGGTGCATGAAGGTGTCTGTGGGAGCCATGTCGGTGCTAGGACTCTGGCTCACAAAGTCTTAAGGCAAGGATATTACTGGCCAAACATGCATAAAGATGCTAGTTATTTTGTTCAGAAATGCCCGAAATGTCAATTCTTCGCACATCTGACTCACCAACCAGCAGAAGAACTCACAAACATGGTAGCACCGTGGCTATTTGCTCAGTGGGGATTGGATCTTTTAGGCCCATTCGTGAAAGGGGTTGGTGGTGTAACCCATCTGGTTATTGGTGTGGATTATTTCACAAAGTGGATAGAAGCTCGGCCTTTATCTAGTCTTACCTCTAACAAGGTCGAAGATTTTGTTTTCAGCTCGATCATCTGCAGATATGGGATCCCAAATCAGATTGTGGCTGATAATGGAACTCAATTCAATTGCTCTTCATTCCGAGATTTCTGTTCCAGTTATGGGATTAAGTTACAGTTCACCTCCGTTTACCATCCGGAGTCCAATGGCATGGTTGAATCCGTTAACAAATGCATTTTAGAAGGTATAAAGCCGAGATTGGAACAACATAAGGCCAAGTGGGCAGAAGAGCTCAACAACGTCCTCTGGGCATATAGAACCACGAGCCGAACTGCCACAGGTACTATTTTAAACCGAGTTTATTTGATTAATTTCTATATTATTTTACTTCTTCTGTTATGCTTTACCTTAGAGCAAATATGCATAATGCATAAAGTGCATTCTAAAGTTATAATCAACTGAAATAGGTGAAACACCCTACCACTTGGCCTTTGGTACCGAAGCAGTCATTCCTGTTGAAATAGGAGTCCCAAGCCTCCAGGATACCCATTTCGATGAAGGACGAAATGGACAACTGCTTCGGGAAAACCTTGATCTGCTTGCTAAAGTCAGAGAAGAAGCTCGGCTTCGAACTCTTGTATACAAGCAAAAACTAGCCAACTTCTACAATAAACGGGTCCGCCCTCGAACATTCAAAGTAGGAGACTTGGTTCTCAGAAAAGCTGGCCTAACG